GGTGAAAAGTGCCATACAAATAAACTTGAATGTGCCTAAGGTTGCAGACCCCCGTGGTAAAGGATGGTTCCAGCAACGCCAAGATCCAGGCATTGAATGCATGGACAGGTAAAACACAGACCTTGCATGCACTGTGAGTCACTTAGGATCCAAACATCTGCCAAATGCTTGTTCATCCACTATAAAAATGAAAAAAATAAATAAAAACACATACATAGTTTATCAGTGCACCAAACAGTTTGTCGACAACAACCGCAAATCCCCTGTCAGCTGTATGAGAGAAGGAGCCAGGAGAGATGCCCCCCAAACACGGAGAATCCCTCACTGTTGTGTTGAAATGTTGCAGTGGAGACGTCGCTGCCAAAGACCAGGCCTGAACAATCGTAGACACGGGCAGGCTGCGGGTTTGGCTGGCTTCTCCATCAGCCATCAGGCTTCCCTCGTCCCAGGCAGGCGCAGGGCTAGCGGGGGACGAGCCCAGAGACAATAGAGGTGTTTGGAGCCAGAGCTGCCTCTAGCAAAGCAGCTTTGGCCCAGCCCTCGTGCTCCAGCCGCATCAGCTCCAACAGAAGGCTGGCAGAACAATCATCTTAGCAGTATGGTTGATCCGCTGACCCGCAACTGTCCCGCTTTACCTCTCCAACTATTTGCTAGCTGGCTGAGGCTGGAGAGCCGCGTTGTCATGGAATGTGATGCTGCCGGAGAGGAAGCACGTGACAAATGACGGGTCGCCAGAGACTGAGTGCATGTTCACACCGAGCCCGTTCTGTGAGGAGGTCAGTCAGGAACATGGGATAGAAACATGCGCTTCCAGCGTTCATCTGCATGACCCATATGCAGCAATAATGCTTCTTTAGTAAAGCAGAATTATGAGTAATACCTTAGTTTCAACTGCATTTAAAGAAATGTAAAAGATCTTCCATTACTTAGGATCTATGTCTGAATATACCGTATTTTGACAGGCTTTAAACCAAAGAAGTAAGCTATAAAATCATGTTTCAAACTGTAAAAAAAAAAAAAAAAAACTGCCACCAAACTTTTAAATGGTAGTGTGTATGTATCATTTTATGTTAAAATATTATAATATCTGCAGCAGAGCAAAACTTGGCTCAGATTTATCAACTGGTATTAGTTGTGAGCAAATACAATTTTGGATTAAAAAAAAGAAAAAGAATTCTTAAAATACAAATCAACCAAATACATATTCTCATTAGGATAAAAATGCATTTTAATATAAATAAAGCAATACAGGTTCATGTCTGATTAGGAATATTTATAGGAGGAAATATTTTATTTGTGGTAGAAAATATTTTGGACCCTTCTAGTCACTCTACATATAAAATATTGACTATTTCTTACCCCAGCAGGGCACTGAAGGGCCAGCCCATTATGGCCCCCGCTGCAATACCCAGCACAGCCAGACTTGGGCGCCCCTGGAACCAGCCAGTCATAGCTACCACTGTACTGTACATGCAAAACGTACTGGGGAGGAAAGCTGCACATAACATAAACACATTAACCTGCAGTGCATACACAAAATTATGTCAAAAAAGAAAAATAGCACACAAACAGTTATCGTCTAATTTCCCTGTGATCAACCAGATAAGCCAAATACGGCCCACTGACTCACCTGCAGAGGAGCAGAACATCCCTGCACTCAGGACGAGGAACGCCAGCAGAAGCCGGCCCACATGCAAGCCAAACTTTTTACACACGGCCCTGTGTGAGATCCATGAGATTAGATCTTTAAGCCTTATTTACTGTAAAATCCTATTTTAGCTGATGTAAGGTGCAATATGTAGTATGCTGCACTTACTTGTAGAAGTAGAGCTCGCACACACAACAGGTAAAAGCTAGCATGCAGCGCAGGAAATAAAACACAAGGACCTGAATGGGAACAAAATAATTTAAAAAACATTTTAGCCAACTTTCACACGTCTAAGCCGGCCTATAATAAATGGCCAGGATAAAGTGAAAGTGACGTGACATGTGGCCAAGTATGGTGACCCGAACTTGGAATTAGTGCTCTGCATTTAACCCATCCAAAGTGCACACACACAGCAGTGAACACACACACACCGTGAACACACACCCGGAGCAGCGGGCAGCCATTTTTGCTGCGGCGCCCGGGGAGCAGTTGGGGGTTCGGTGCCTTGCTCAAGGGCACCTCAGTCGTGGTATTGAAGGTGGAAGAGAGCGCTGTACATTCACTCCCCCCACCTACAATCCCTGCCGGTACGAGACTCGAACCCGCAACCTTTGGGTTACGAGTCCGACTCTCTAACCATTAGGCCACGACTTCATATCATCATGCAAAACAAAGAATTAGAATCATTGTAATGTGAC